GTCTCGGTGACCCACATGCCAGCATGGAGGTCTCGGTGACCCACATGCCAGCATGGACCTTTGAGTCCAACGTCAACTGTTTGAGTACAACAAACCTCTCGCACCACAGTCATGGAAAGTTTATTATGAAAGGCAAACATAACCTCCTTCATTCCAGATACCCCAACGTCTCCTTTGTGGTTTACACGGGGGATAAGGATGTGACCGGTGAGCAGATTGTGGAGGGAGCACGACAGCGTTTCAGCATCACGCTGCCTCGACCGGTCACCTTCATCTTCTTGCGTCACCGTGGTCTGGTGGAGGCCACTGCTTACCCCCACTTTACCCTGCTGGGCCAGAGCCTTGGCTCCATGTTCCTCGGTAAGATCACGCCAGTCTGATAATTTCATGAGTTTCAGTTTTACCCATGGTGACATTATTCTTTATTCTTTGCTTAAACATTTAGTTCTTTCTGCTGCACACTTTTAAATTACCACCCAGCCTTAAATGTCTTGATGAACCACTTTATTAATCTTTCCACTGTGGGCGTACTGATATACTTCAGTTTTTCTGGTCTTATTGCACCACAACATGATGCACAGGGGTGTACGTAAGTTTTTTAGTGGGCTCCTCAGGTGAGTACCAGGAGATGGTGTTTGGTACTCACCCAGTATGCAGCTTTGTCTGAATAAGTGCCACCTCCTCCTCAGTGTCACTCCCACTATCCTCTGCTTCATCTGCTGCATGTTAGATGCTGCAGATGTACCTGCTAGTCTTTTTTTTTTTCTGTCATTATTTTGTGAAATGTAGTTATGACACCCTTCACAAGTTTGTATTTGTATCTTGTTGCATTGTTCTATTTTGTGTTGTTAAAGTTCTAGAAAAAAAAAACTGACGGGCTGCATGTAAGGGGCGTTTACCTTCGGGACAAATTGATGTTGTCGATTGGTCAGTTGCTGACACGCCTGATTGATTGACAGGTTGCGTCGCAGATCTGACTCGTGCAAAAAAAAATCCGCTGCCGCCGCCCACCAGCCCTCAGTGGAGGCGGGGCGGCCCAGGAGCAGCAGTAGCGGTGTTCTGTCTTTTAATGTTGTTAATAAAAAGTTCTTTAAAAAATATATGAAAACAGGGAGCGCCGGCCCTGCAGCCCACACGTCAGATCGGCTCACCGGGAAATATCCCGACTCTCCCCATTATAGTCAAATACACGAAGGCTTGTGGTAAAACAGGTGATGCTGCATATTCTTGATTTTTGTTGCGCATGCATACCTGCGTACCAGTTATGTGCACCCCTGATGATGTGTAATACAGGATCCTGTTTATAGTTGAAAATAGAACGACAGTATGTTTATGAGATTGACAAATTTGTGATCTCTGTCAGAAAGCTCTGATCTGATGTACGGATTAAAACAGTACTGGTTACTGACTAAAGATTTCACGTCCAGATTTTAACTTTATGATGCTATTTTTCATTTCTGAGGCTTCACATGTTGAGACAGCAGTGTAATAGAGTGTCCAACATGCTGCTGCCAGAGTCTTAACTGGAGTTACTGGGAGAGATCAAATCTCTCCAGTTTTAGCTTCTCTCCATTGGCTCCCTGTCAAATCCAGAATAGAATTCAAAATCTTACTTCTAACCTACAAAGCTCTCAACAACCTAGCTCCATCTTATATTACAGATCTTATTGTTCCATATTTTCCTAACAGAGCACTTCACTCTCAGACTGCAGGTTTACTTGTGGTTCCTAGAGTTTACAAAAGCAGAACGGGAGGAAGATCTTTCAATTCTCAGGCTCCTCTCTTGTGGAACCAACTTCCAGTTTCTGTCCATGAGGCTGACACATTATCCAGTTTAAAGACTGGGATTAAGATCCAACATTTTTCCGTCGGGTCATCTGGACAGTTTCTTATACCTGGATTAGTGAGCATGGACTTTGTTGTTTTCAACTGGGATTAAGTCTTTCCTTTTTGATAAATCCTATAGTTAGGGTCAGTTTGTCATGCTGCTGTAGACTTGGACTACTGGAGGACAAACTGACCTCATTTCTTCAATTGAATAGTTTCATTTGATACTCATTATATCTGAACATGTGATTCTTGACCTGCCATTGTGTATCTGTTCCTACCAAACCCAGCTGGTTGAAGCAGATGTCCACTTGTCCTGAGCTGGTTCTGGTAAAGGTTTCTTCATCATGACGGAGTTTTTCTTTCCACTGTCGCCTTCATGCTGGTTCAAGATGAGAGTTAAACTCAGAGCTGCTCCTCAGATAAATAATGTTAAATAATTATTTTATAAATGAATGTTTCTGTTCAGTCCCTGAGACGATTCTGTTGTGACTTGACGCTTTATAAATAAACTGAACTGAAAATTAATAAAATGTCTTTGTAGGAAATGTCAGTAACTGATCACTGATCAATCTGGGATCTTCATATGAGCCGATTGTTGCATTCTGACTGCACTTTGTTCAGGAATGTGTTTATTTTTTATATTTTTGTATCTTTTAATAACCAGTGCTGAACTGGACATTTTCTTCCAAAGGTGTGAAAACCAGTTGGAGCAAAATGGGCAGAACAGCAGAAGGTTAAAAACCAGTAAAAATATCAGTTTGTTGGGAATATTTTCTATCTTTTGCAATAATTGCTGCTGTTTAAAGTTGCCTGCCAGATGTTTGATGCTTCAGAAAATGTCAACTTTCATCTGTTTTCCAGTTTGTTCAGTCCGTTCAAATATAAGTCTTAAAATATAGAATTCACTGACCAAACTTGTTGCTTGTAGAAATACAAGGCATATTACAAACTGTGTATTAACGGGGCTGTGGTAGCTCGGTGGTCAGTGCTGCAGTCTCTCGTGTCTGAAGCTGGAGGTTGGAGTTTGGGTTCACCAGAAAGAACATCTGGTCTTTTGTGTGGGTCTGCTCTGAGGTGACCCCTGCAGAAGGAAATGACGTCCTGTGCGTTACACGGTTTCTCCTCCTCACAGAGTGACAGCCGTGTTTGTGTTTCAGGGTGGGAGGCCCTGACAGCCTTCGTTCCTGACCTGTACGTGGACTCCATGGGTTACGCCTTCACGCTTCCGATCTTCCGCTACCTGGGAGGCTGTAAGGTGGCGAGCTACGTTCACTATCCTACAGTCAGCACCGACATGCTGTCTGTGGTCAGGGAGAGGAACCCCAGGTAGACCTGCACACCCACTCTGCACAACATTGAACAGAACTGTTTGTTTTGGATTGGAGCTGACCGATATGGAAAGTTTCCTGTTGCTGATCCCGAGGGAGGGAGTTCCTAATGCCGATAACCGACATGATTTATTAGTTGAAATTTTTTTAGCTTTGTCCACCCCCTAGAATCTAAATAAACATCTACTTTTAAACCAGTTTCAACACTGGAAGTCTTGAAACAGTCTTCCTAACATGCGGTCACATTTTCTATCCTCCACTATTCACCATAAAGTTATCACGTGTGTTACACAAACACAAGTTAAAGTAAAGAAACACCGTTCATTGTTTGAACAAACGGTCACGTCTGGTCACGGTCTAATTAATACTGACCGCAGCACAGTTTATTTTTCTTTGCAGAGAAATAAAGATTTCAGACAAACAACACATTTCATTGAGGACAACATTACTCTCATGTTTACTTTCCTTTTCTCATCTAAGCAAAATATTATTCTGAATAAGAATAAGAAGGCCGCGCTAATTATTTTAGCTGCAGCTTCGTGCACTCCGCCCATCTTCAGACGACTGTACGTACATATTCTCGTTGTATCTCGGTGCATTGCCAATAAAGTTTATTCTGATTCTGATTCTGATTACAAACACTGATTTAATTTACCTCTACGTTAGATTCAGGGTGCATTCACACCAGCCCTGTTTAATCCGCTTTAATCGAACTCTAGTCCGTTTGCGTAGAAAGCCCAGTTCGTTTGGGGAGGGATGAACGAGCAATCGAACTCTGATACAGACAAAAAAGTGAACTTTGGTCCGCCTAAACACCTAGGTGTCAGTTCGATTGAAGTGAACTCTGGCGTGGTTCGAATGCAGAGTGAATGCAAGTGGACCGGAGACCGCTCCAAAAGCAGGAAGTGGAGTACAGCGCAGGAAGTGGAGTACAGCACAGGGCAGGAAGTGGAGTACAGCGCAGGGCAGGAAGTGGACTACAGC